ATGTGAGAAAACTGTTTGGATGTGTCCATGAAGTCACCAAGAATTGAACTTGACTTGAAGGAGACTTAAACATTAATCAACTAGATGGATTGGAAATATGACAGAGCTAAAGCAGCATGTAATATTAGTGCCTATTATTCTACAAATTATGTCTTCACCTATTGTTCGCAAGGCAAGAGGTGTGCTGTACATTAAAAATGTGTTTATTTTTCTGCTCTCTTGTTGAGAAACCTGATCCTTCTTATCGGTAATTCCCTCATTTTTTTGGTTTTACTAATTTGGAGTTACTGGCTTAGATCAGAAATATATGAATAATTCTTTTTCTGTGCTAGTGAATTTCATATGTGTATGACTTGTTTACATTTACATTTACATAGCAACATCATCCCCAAAACTCAGGAGGAACAACAAAGTAGTCTTTTTGGCTAGAACAATACAAAAATTAATGCAGATAATTGAGATTTATCTTGGTGAATCTTCGTTTTCAGACATCCAAAACTGTTCATAAAAAACTTCTAAAATCACAACTTTTATCTTAGGAATATACAGGAAACTGTATTATATTGCCTCAGATTATTGCTCATTTAGTGCTGTATTGTCTGTACCCATCTTTCCCAACCTAGGTTTCCTTCAGGAGCATGGACCAATCCTATGCTGGTCCATAGGGACTAGCAATAACATTTCAAGTTTCTAGACTTGCATGGAGATGTTGAGGTTTTAGTGCACCTTAATGTTAGCTCACTTTATATTAAACAGCATATCATAGTAACATGCCTCACATTTACCTTGCTTTGATTCTTCTGTATATTTTTTATTGATCACCTTGTATATCAGAGTTGGAAAGGACCTTGGAGGTCTTCTAGTCCAACCCCCTGCTCATGCAGGAAACCCTATACCATTTCAGACAAAACTTCCAATATTGGAGCATTCACAACTTCCAGAAGCCAGTGGTTCCACTGATTAATTGTTCTAACTGTCAGGAAATTCCTCCTTAGTTCTAGGTTGCTTCTCTCCTTAATTAGTTTCCATCCATTGCTTCTTGTCCATTCCAGCCTTCTGGTGTTTTGGAGAATAGGTTGACTCCCTCTTCTTTGTGGCAGCCCCTTAGATATTGGAACACTGCTATCATGTCACCCCTAGTCTGGTTTCCAACTTTTTCTGCACCAGGCATCGTGGAAGACAATTTTTCCACAGACCAGGGGGATAGTTTTGGTTTCATTCTCTCGCTCGCCCGCCACTCACCTCCAGCTGTGCGGCTGGTTCCGGGAGTTGGGGACCCTTGGTCTACGTTGCATGAACAGATTAATGTTAATATTATAATGAAAAAAGTATTGCATTATGACACTTGGATATATTTAGCTTTTCAGTGTACTTTAGACTTTCTAGACAAAATATTAGTGCAGAGAGATCACACATATAACAGAAGTACGTATTTTGAAGGCTGTGGTTTTCCACTTAGAACATGTGGTAATGAAAGCTGGCCCAGCAGAATTTAATTGTGGTCCTGGAGAAAATTCTTGAGAATACTTTGGATTGCAAGAAAAATAATTCAGTACTGTGTGAAGTAAATATAGTCTGTTCACAGGAAACACCAATAACAAAGCTGAAGCTTAAATGTTTTGGACACACAATACAGAGGCAAGAGTCACTGATGTTTGAAAGGATCAAAGGCAATCAACAAGCAGACAGATGGTTAGGTACTATCACTGATGATCCAAGTTTGAGCTAATGAGAATTCAAAATATTAACAGACATTTACTACACATATTTATATGACTGTCCATCTTAATTAAATAACACTGACCAATGAACAAGCATAAAAACATACATATAAAAATAGTAGAAAAAGCAATAAAAGATGCCAAGTAAAAACATTTTAAAAATAAACACAATCGTCACAAGGTGAAAAATCAAACTGGGCTCCGGTGATATCCTGATAGTGAAGTCTGGCATTCATATGACATGACACTGAATAGGTCACAAAGAATTGGAAATGACTGAATAACCACAGCAACATATTATTTATGTATCTTACAGTCCCGTCTAGCTCCTGTGCAAAAATAATTTTAGTTCACTGGAAAAGTGGCATACAATTACAAAGCTGTCAAGCATTTTTGTTACTGAAGTTCCAAGGTCATGCAGAGAATCAGCATACTTAATTTTTACTGATGGAATTGTTGGGAAAAGCACCAGCTGTGGTAAATAGGTTTAGCAAATCATTTACATGTTATCAATTACAATAATTTTATATCTCTCCTGTCTGTAACTAGTGTAAACCAAACAGTATTTTGATTTATCTTTATACACAGATTCTTTCTATCAGCAAGACAGTTAATAGTGTCATGCTAGACTGCAAGAACGCTATGCCTGGCAGAGTTGGCATATCATGTTCAACCCTGTATATTCATACTTTGAATAATAAATCAGAGACAATATTCTCATCGGGAAAATCCTGGTCCCCAAGTTTCCTCTTTAAATGTGCAGATAGCAACATTCTCTATCTTGATATTGTCCAGATACTTGGGATTGGGTTGCTGGAGATGATGGAAACTATCAAAGTTCTGCAAATCTGGAAAGGCCCAGCATAAGAAGGCTGATAGATAGTAAAAACAATGTTGTTTGCAATGGTTTATAAAGAGGACTCTGGTTTTTTTCATCAAAAGTATCTTCATCATTGTCCCTTCCCAGCAACTTTCAAATCAAAACTTTATTTTGGTTATAGACCATATAATCCCGACAGCCTTCTCTTGTGGTAGAATGTAAGTTGATAAATGAATAAAATCTTTACTACTTATTTGCTTACAAAAGCATCCTAGCTTGCTGAATTTCTCTTTGTCTGTATAAATTGCAGAGCGGATCTTACGCTTTCACCTCCACATTTCTTTTAGATAGTCTTTAAGTATTACTTTTCCACCCCGCTTTTTCTATCGCACACCCCCGTAGACTATTCTGCAAAGAGGCAAATTACACATTACAGATGTCACAAGTGTGCAGCATAGAAAAGCTTTATCATGGTAAAATGCTCCTTACAGTTAGGGAAATTTTAGAGCAGGAGTGTGGCAGCTAAGATATATGGCAGTTTCTGAGATTTTTAACAAGCAGGCTTGTTGACTGGCTCTCAATTGCTATATTAGGTTTTTCTTTCCATCTATCTCCTTATTGTTTTTTTGTTTGGTTTTGGCAAAGAAAAATATATCCCTTTTTAAAAAGGGATACTGTTGCTTTAACGCTTGTTGGGAATTTGTTACCCTTAGCATAAGTATGAAAATTAGAATATTATTCTTTCACACTTTTTCATTGCATATTTTTGAGTCACTTTTTCAAAATGATATTCACATTAATATAAACATTACATATTTTTATTTACTGTAATATGTAATAGCTTGCTTTAAAAAAAAATTAACTTAGTTGTGCCAGTGCTTGTCTCAGTGACTCTTCTTATGGTAAGTTGATGTCGATGTAAGAATCAAATATTACTAACTTAACATTAGTTTGTAACTCCCGTGATCCAACCTAACCCCTTTCTAATACGTTAGATTTTAGACTATGTATATAATAAATAAGAACGTCAAAGATTGTAAGAACGGAGATGTATTGTCGGAGAGACAAAAAGAAAAAGGGTAACAAACTGATCGGGGAACAACTTTTGTTAATTTAAAAAGTATTTATGCTATATTACCCCGGTTTAACTTCCTTGTATCTTTATGCTCATTCTCCAGCTCATTCTCCAGCTCTACAGTTTTTTGATTCTAATCTCTTGGTTAGCATAAAGATTGCATCTGTTGTCTCATACCTCCATCCATTTTCTTTGGCAGCCCCTTATCTTTGAAGCTCTTTACCTTCAGTTATTTGTATAATTCAGTCTATTCTATCCTAAAAAAAAAAAATCACATCTTTATTTACCAATTCAGATTTAAACCTAACGCCAAACTTTGCATTTAAACTGCTGTTTTTTTTGCAAAAAGAAATCGCACATGCCTGTAATAATTATAAGCGCAGCCATTTGATGAGAGAATTTAACCCTTTCCATTGTGTCAGTGTCCTGAGGGAAGTCTTTCTTCTGAAGCTGTTACGTACTGTGGGAAGGAAATCATCCATTGACATCAAGTTTTGTGGTATTTGGCATTGGAAAAAATTGTCTAAATGTAAAGATTCTTTGAATTCATCCTGGAAATGTGAGCAAGAGGGAACTTTTTATTATGCTTGGTAGACATGTAAAAACTAAAAGAAATGGATTCAGATATATGTATTGATTCTGATTATTTTAAAGATTAATATGCAAGTGAAGCCAGAGAATTTCTTTTGGGACTGATTGACAAAATGTTGGAAAAAACTCATAGAACTTTGTTTTATATATCATACAGCAGCGAGACTTTTATATGAACAACAATGGAAAGATTTGGAAGAGTGGGTGTTGAATGTGATGGAGCTTGCTGAGATGGCAAAATTGACAGCTTTGATTAGAGAAAACACTGATTAATATTAATGTCGATTGAAAACCCTTTTTTGACTTTTGAAAGACAAATTAAATTGTAATACATCAGTTTGATGATTAGAAAAATAAATGATAGAAACAATGAGAATTATGTTGTAATACAGTAAGAGGTCAATTTGAATTTATGTTAATGATTGTAAAAGAAAACCAGAAACCATTTATTTCTCTCTCTCTCTCTCTCTCTCTCTCTCTCTCTCTCTCTCTCTCTCTCTCTCTCTCTCTCTCTCTCTCTCTCTCTCTCTCTCTCTCTCTCTCCCTCCCTCCCTCTCCCTCTCCCTCTCTCCCTCTCTCCCTCCCCCCTTTTGGCTTTGTTTTTTTTATTTTTCTTCTTTTTCTAATCCTAAATGTTACTTTCTGTTTTTATCTTTCTTTAAAAAACAATAAATTAGAGTAAAGCTATTAAGTAGAAGAACTTGCCTTATCAATCCAAATTGAGAGAAAATCTGGGGTATAAAAAAAAAGAACGAATGCTTCCCTAATTGTGTTTTTTTCACTCTTCTTATAGCTGCCGAACCTTGGCCTCAGAATGCTGTGTTCTATCAGCCATTGAAAGGTGTGTGTTTTAGTTTCTCAATTAGCTGAATTTTCTTCATTAAATATGCATCCCTATAATTAAGTGAACCCTGATGGGGGGTGAAGGGCAGGAGAGGCCTTGTTGAAAAGGGAATCCTTTATGATGCTTATCTGGTCAGAGGATTGTACTAAACTTGTATTTACCAATATAAACCTGCTATTCATGGCCTATAAGGTCCTTGGTTTATTATTGACTCATTATATTGGCTGCTGTAGGCAGTGTAAAATGATGTGGTTTGCAGGCCCAGTTGGCAGATTTACTGCACCAATAGCTGAGGCAGCAGATTTTTGAAGTCTTGTGGTAAAGTGGGCTCTCGATAAAAAAGGAACTGTTAAAATGTATAGGCTAGGATGGTTCAGTCTCCCTTTAGCAGCTCTTCATATATCATCAGATCACATTATGGCCCCCATTTGGGGCTCAGCAGCCTGCTACAGTTGTCAGAAGACTGCAAAGTAATGAAGACTAATAGGTAGCAGCCCTAGTCTTCTAAGCATGGAATTTTTATTGCTGTGTACTTGTCATCTTTCTTTTGTGTGACAGACCTAGACACAGTCTGCAATATTAACTGCAAGCTGGGGTTTTTTATAGGTTTATGAATGCTTTTACTTTTTAGCAAGAAGAATTATGAAGTTGTGGGTTTTATTTCTATTAGGAAATGAGTGATTTTTATTATTATTTTTTTGCTTGCCACAAAGAAAACAAAAAACCTTAGGACATATCTTTTGTTAGGATTCTTTAACTGTTGGGGCAATAGGACAAATTATAGGCCACATCAGGAGAAATGTTTATGGGACTTCTGGCCGCAGGTTTTGTAAAGTGACATTAATGTAATGGGGCGTGTGATTTGTGTTAAAATAGTTTGTCTCTCTGTGTTTGTACACCATTTATTTTTGCACTCATAATGATGTGCAATTATCGGTAGAGGAAAGAACCATTATTTTAAATAATTATACTGCATTTTATTTTATAGAGGAACAGATTTTGCTTTCTGATAATGCTGCCTGTCTTGCTGTTCAGGTAACTATAATTATTTTCTTATTTTGTGGTTGCTAATATTTCATGGAAGAACTGCCCCCCCTCCAACAGTTTTATTAACCCATGCTTTGGTGATGTATATTAAATTTTGCACCTTCTTGTTGCTCTGAGTTCCTGTCATTCCTGTTTGATAGACACTAGTATCTCTGTTCCAAACATTGGAACATTGGTTCTGGTATGTTATTTTCTAGTAAGGTAATAGAAATATAAAACATTTTTTTCAAGATTATTTCTACCCCTTAGTCTTGTCAATTTTTTTCAAATTTTAATAATGCACAATAATATATATTGGTTTTAGAGCAGATGCGAGATGCAAGATAGTCCAGTGCAATATTATGCCTGATGTATTGCAGGTTATAGCTTCCATCCATTAAAATGTGAGAAGAGTAGGCCTGGCACCCTTTAAAAAAGATTCAGAAGAAGTGTTTTCGACTTCATTTGATGGCAGATTCTCTCTCCTCTTCATCAAAGCATAAACAACTTTCTATCTAAGCCTGAGAAAGGATATTTTTGGTTTAAAAGCTGCATTAAAGGATGTGTTGCTTTAATTATTTGATTCCAAACCATGGTATCCTTCTTGAGATTTACACTGTACCTTGAAAAAAAGTCATGCATACATCATAAATATACTCATGCAAGGCACTTTTTTTGGAATAATTTTAGAGTGATTTTACCTCTAAAGCAGAGTTGGACTCTGATCCAAATTTGCTTCCATAACTGCCTATGTCAAATGTAATCAGATGCCAAACCAGAAGCCTTCCTGCTGGCTTTGTTAATGATTAGAAGATCTGTCTTATCTTGACACTAATATAGAATCATCTAGTCCAGGGGTCTGCAACCTTGACAACTTTAAGACTTGTGGACTTCAGCTCCCAGAATTCTGGGAGCTGAAGTCCACAAGTCTTAAAGTTGTCAAGGTTGCAGACCCCTGATCTAGTTTAATAGTTGTTGTTAGCTTTATTTTGTATGAATTTTAAAGCTGTTGGCATTGGTGGGTTTTGGTGGGCATTATTGTTTTGTAACAACTTTCAGAGAATTGCTGTATGTAGAAGTATGTATGTAGAACTTTTAACCCCCTGAATCTTTCACCATACAGCTTTATTGGATGATCTTAGAGTAACAGAAGAAAGATTTCCTCTTTTTTTAACCCTTTTTTTGAGGTAGATTCTAATCACAGTACTCAGATGGTACCAAATTTGGCTGCCATCGTTTATTTTAAATCTGGTCTTAAATGGAAATTTAAATAAAAGAATTAGGGCTTCTTTTTATCCTCTGTATCACACCTGTGTTGCACCTGTAATTTAGTATTTTAAGAAGAGAGAAACAATTCCAATAAATGTTTTATATATTATGCATAATTTTCTACATTTCTATCATGTTTTCTATTTACATTTAAAATATAACAAGCAAAAAGCTACACATATAATTCTTTTATATAGAGTACTATTTCTCTTTTATTGTTTTCATTGCTCTTTCTCTGCCCTTTTCTATACCCTATTTGTGATGTTGTGACCACAATTGTACATACTATGTTATATGCAAATATACCAATGTTTGCAGAAGAACACTTTTGCGATTCAGTTTTGCATTCCTTTCTTAAACCTCTTAATCATGTTTACCTTTGTCATTGCAGCTGCATTCTGAGTAGGTTCTTTACCACCACAATATTTATTGTTTGGTCAGTCTTCATATATAGGAAGTTGGGATTTTTTTTTCTCAATGTGCAATACTTTGCATTTATATTAAGGTATTGGGCATTACATTAATTGAGAAATTCAAAATCATACTAATTAAAGTAACTAGTTTGCTTGAGAGAACATTAAAATCAAAAACTGTATTTTACCTTTTAAGGCAGGGGTATCAAATTGCCGGCCCACGGGCTGGATGCGTCACGTAGAAGCCACGCCCACCCCATCGCCGGCAATGGCAAAACTGTTCTGATACGTCGTGCGACGTCACGTGATGTTGCGAGTTTGACATGTCTGTTTTAAGGAGTACCAATAATAATGCCAATATTGCATTATTTACAAGAATATGTGAAGTCATAAGAATTCACAAGAAAATGATTATGGATGTCATTTTGTTGTGAATAAATGAAGTATGCTTGCTTAAAATATAGGTAGTCTTCACAGACAGTATTTGGGATCAGCACCTCCATTCTTAAGTGACACAGTTGAAAGTAAAAAAATCATGTGACTGGCTGTCTTACAAAGTCAATTAGTCAGTTCTGGCTGCAGTTGTTAAATGAATCACTGGGTCGTTGAGCACAATGTCACATGACAGCAACTTGTGACTTCCTGCTGGCTTCCCCATTGACCTTGCTTGCTGGAAGCTGGCTTGAAGGTCACACTGTGGGAATATGATGGTGATCACCGTGGGACACGGCAACAAGTTTGGTCTGGTGGTTAAAACACAAGTCTAAAAATCAGGAGATTGTTAATTCTAGTCCTGCCTTAGGTATGAAAGCTAACTGGGTGCCTTTGGGCCAGTCATTCTCTGTCAGCCCAATTCATCTCACAGGGTTGTTGGAAAAGATTTTGTGAGGAAGGTTTATTGGGTATGCTGCCTTATTTGTAAAAAAAATAATAAAGGGATAAAATAAATCATTAAAAATGCTTGCTGGTTGCTAACTGTCTAAATTGAAATCACATGATTGCAGTGGCTGCAACATTGAGACTGGTTGTTCAGCACCATTGGACCTTTTCATAGTTATTGAACAAATGGTCAGCAAGTGAAGACTATCTGTATAGCAGTTAGGACTACAGGGAAGTCATATTTAGAAAAAAGGGAGAATTAGAGAATTAGAAACCTATAGATCTTGAATCCTCAGGGGTAGGCAACCTTGGCTCTTTTATGACTCGTGGACTTCAACTCCCAGAATTCCTGAGCCAGCCAAGCTGGCTCAGGAATTCTGGGAGTTGAAGTCCACGAGTCATAAAAGAGCCAAGGTTGCCTACCTCTGCGGCTCCTTGGATGTTTCTGAGACAACCTCAACACTATAACAAACTATCTGTAAATTAGAGTGACAGGCTTTCTTTTGCTGGTACAAGAAAAGGAGAAATGAACAATATCCAACGGTATCAGTGAGAGGTCAGGATTGCTTTTAAATAATCTTTAGCATGTTAAATCCCTTTTCCTATTTAGAACAGAAGATATTGTAGGATTAAATCATACTGAAAAGTAATATGCATAAGTATTTTTCAGGATGCGTACAAAGTTGACAGGAACAAATTGGAATTTGAAACAGTTTCATTAGAAAGTCCAAGAAAAACCAACCTTAGACTTTCAAAGTTGTGCAGAATCATTATAAAGGAGTTTAGGATGCAGTCCTATGCTACGTACTAGGAATAAGTTTAATTTAATTCCAGTGGGATTTACCATTGAATAAATATGGGTAGGCTTACATTAAAAAAATAATTGAAGCTTTCGTGGAATAATATTCCATGATAGAAAAAAATATTTTCAAGTTATCGTTTTATTCTGGCTTTTGAATATTTGCATTTGCTACATTAATAAAGGATGAAATATGTTTAAGAAGCCAAATGAAAACTGAAAAGTCCAAAAGAGTGTTATAAAAGATACATTTATAACTGTAGCACTCTAATCCTATTCAGAAGCTAGTTTGGATACAGTGGGGCTCATTTTGTCTACAAGATTGTAACAAATAGCACTGTAAATAACATATACAGCACTGATTTAAATAATACTTGCAATCCATGATGTTGCCCCATCATTAGAAATGATGTTCTTTCTGCATCTGAAGAAAATGAACAATAATAATTCAGTTTTGTATCTTGATAGTCCCACATTTCTGAGAGACTATCCCTGGAAATTCCTAACTTTTGGGGATAACTTCTCAGTGGATAGGAGGAAAGTGATTAATGGGGATATGCCAGAGCAGGTGAGAAGAAGTAGTTCCTGTAGTAGAAATGAGCCTGTGTGTATTTTGTTATAGAATGCTTTTTAAAAAATCCTTGATAAGAACTGATAGTACTAATATATTTGAAATGATATTCTTGCATTTCTACCAAGAAACCTTTAATCATCATAATCATAAATAGTTAAAATCAAAGTTCCTTTCAGAGGAGAATTTTCTGTATTTCAGTTCTGTTTTACACATGTCACTTAAATGATAAATTAACCATAATATATTAAAATCTTCTTTTTTCAATATTCTTTGTGTGACAGCAGATAGTGGCCATGACTAT